CGAGCTCACCATGAATCGGTACTTCCCCATCTATCTCGGTTTTATTCGGTGATTTAATTTGTATCTCGGTGAAAGATTTTGGTGTATTTGCTCGGACTTTGAGCTCCACCAGTGATAGTTCTGGACTGGCCTGATCGGTTCTAGTTTGTTCTGCATTGTTAAGAAATAAGTCCAAGGGTTAGCACGGCATAAATTGCACGGCTTCAATGTGGATTTTTTAGCTCGATGAAGGGTTTTTGGGTGTTCGACCGGTTTGATCCTAACTCGACTAGACAACTTGGCCGATTTGGCCTTCCTAGTTTGGTTCTGATTCTCTATTTTCGGCTCAGTAAAGGCCCAAGAAGAAAACTCGAACGAGTTATAGCTCGGTTCAGTCTTATTTACGGATCTAATTGGGTGTTCAACTCGGTCAAGGCCCCAAGTAGAGACCTCGAACAAATTTTAGCTCGGTTAAGTCTAATTTACGGATCTAAATGAGCATTTAGCTCGGTTCTGTCCAGTGTTCATCCAGTTCATCCTAAGTTCAAGGCCCATCTATTCAAACTAAGGAGAAACAGGGGCACGAAGGCCCCATTCACCCCTCCAGTTCCAGTTTGCCCTAAGGTGTGCCAATACTACCCCATGGAGAAGGTATTGGTAGGTGCCTAGCATTTCCAAGCAAAAACACGAAGAACACGAGATGGAAAACATGAAGAACATGGACAGAAAATAGGGTGGATTGGTGAAGAGACTTACCAGCGACGGACGTCAAAGAGATCAATCGACCAAGAGCTCGATTATAGCCTCAGAAGAAACGAAAACGGGTGTAGAGGAATCGGAAAGGCAGCAATGGCAGTAATGGTAGAGGTTTGAGGGTTTTGAGAGCAAGGGTTTTAGGGCTTGAGAGAGATGAGCAGTAAGGGTTGAAATGACCCTTCGCTTGTGCATAAAAGAGGGGGGGAAAAACCAAACGGCTACGCCGTTTGAATTTCGCTCATGAAAAAACAGCTTTGGGGCCGCACGGGGCCAACGGGATAAAGCCACGTGGCATCGAAAGGACGGCTGTCAGTACGGTTGTACGGCCCTCGACAAGACTGCTGAAGCAGTGACCAACCAAATGGGATAGCTCGGTAAAGGCTTCGAAACCAATCACGCTCGGCTTGGTAATGGTGCAGCTCAGGGACCGTTAGCTCGGTCATGGTGGTAACCCCAATCACGATTAGCTCGGATGGGATTAAGGGGCAATTGAGAGGGGAGATTTGCACCGGTCAGTACGGCCGAGCTACGGTAACGCGGGTATGGCAAGCCTCTCGGTGCCGAGCTATCTCCTCAATCGGCACGGCCCTCCGGTCTGTTTTACACGGTCGGGCTAGGTTTGCCGACCAGGCATGCTCTAAGGCCTGGCCGAGCTGTGGCTGTTAGGCATTCGGCGGTAGGTGCGCGTTGGCACGGCGCGACCGAGAAGATGATAGTCCAGAAAGAGTCTAGGCCGGGAAGAGGTCGGCGTGCGCCCGACCGGATAGCTCGGAAGCTCAGTCGTGTTCTTTGTGGTTGTGATTTTCTCCAAGGAATAGGTCGGTCTTGGTATGCCGGTCAGGTGTGTCGCTTGAGCCAATGGCGTGAGGGAGAGGATATCTGCTCCAGGCATGCGTCAGTACCGTTTGGCAGTTTTGCATGTACTGGATGGAGGATTTGGCCTTTACATGTGTAAGGTGGTGGGAGGCGAGCACAGCCAACTGTCCAGGAAAGGATAGCAGAGGTAGTGTGCGCACAATCCTGAGGCTGCATGGCCAGCCTAGAAAAAGGAAGGGAGGATGAACGTTAGAGGTAAGAAACTTGCGCTATCTAAAATACTCTCGCTCTCTCTCTCGAAAAGCCTCATTCTTCCTCTAGTGATCTGACTTGATCGTCGGAGGGTCTATCCGGCATACCACCGCTAGGGAGCTCACCGTTCTCTGTGTTATCAGGTTAGACGCCATCACGCGAAGCTTGAACTCCAAGGAGTACGGAAAGTAGAAGATATTTCGCCCCCGTACACCAATCAACTACATTTAGGCCACTTGTCTCGACATTTACCACATTCAGCTTGCTTTAGTCAGTGAAGGAGAAGATGAGTGTGAAACTTCATTGGAGTCTTTGGCGGGACCACCATTCCAATCAACTACATTTAAGCCACTTGTCTCTACATTTACCACATTTCTCTCTCTCTCTCTCTCTCTCTCTCTCTCTCTCTCTGTGCCAGCCCTCTCTCCTTTAACAGTATTTCCAAGTCAATCGCCGTGTCAAGAAACCAAACCAACATGATCAACATCCGGAAAACTCTATGGTACTAAACTAGATGCTTAACAAACATTATACAAAGACTCTTGATGGGTTTTCTTATTATCGGCTAAATTGTGAATCTACAATGGTTGTTCCCCCCTGCATTTTGGCTTTCTTTGTCCTCTCTCACCTACTGTTTCTTCACTCTGCTGGACAAGACAACACCTCATTCCAAAACTGTCCACAGTCCTTCCAGTGTGGAAAACTTGGGCAGATCAAGTTCCCTTACTCCGACACCACTTATCCCCAATGTGGGTTGTGCACTGTAAATTGCGGTGAAGCAATTCCAAAACTCAATTTCGGTGTGGACCAACTATGGTATGAAGTTCATGACAAGTTTCTTAATCATGAGGTCCAAAATGTTACTGACAAAAATCTTGAAAGCCTCATAAAATCCAAAAGCTGCGATGTCTTCACTTCGTACTTGCGCTGGAGTCTTCCCACTACACCTTCTGTTTCTTTTACAGTCTCCCCCAATCTCACCTTCTTCAAATGCCCTACCGGCGTCGACAGTACACTTGACAAGCAGATTGAGCATTTCTTTTGCCATAATCACAGTTACAGTTATTACAAAGACTGCTTAGGCTACACAATTTACTATAAAAACCCTGACGATCCTCATCAACCTCTTCTTATTAATGAGAGAATTCTGCAAAGCTGTGGACATTTTCAACTGCCGGTGTTTTCGTTGAACGATGGCAAGAAGCGAAATGCCAGTGATCTGTTTACTGTATTGGCTTCTGAGTTCTCACTCGGATTTCATGTGTCAGAGGAATGCGGTAAGTGTAACCTCACAGGAGGCCAATGTCCTCGATACAACGGCTCCAAGTTCCACTGCATGGTCCAGGCTGGCTTACCCAAAAAAAACATTGAGCAGGCAAAACACGGTATTGGAATTTCTCTGCTGCATAAAGCATACTGTTATTTCTGATTTAATCCAAAATCTTCAATCTGTGGAAGTCTGCTCCATATGGATTTTGGTTCATTACCTTGGCGGGTTTTGATTAATTTACTGTTTACTTGTAGTTATAAGCTCAAGCATTCAGAATATGCTTTAGTAAATTACTATAAATTGTTTTATGTGCCAAATTCAAGTTGGATTATACTTATTACTTGCTAGATACCTTTTTTTTTTTTTTTTGGGGTTTTGGTAGGTAAGTGGGTTAGATCTACCAAAAAATATGCTTGATACACCCCTTTCGGGGACAAGAAAGATGTCCGAGCAAGCCATTAAAACAGAGCATTCAAAACCTAGCACTAAAAAAAACTCTCACAGCTTGAGAGCTAGGCCAAAGAAACAAACAACATGCAAACTTAGAGAACAACACCTTCTATTTATTTCATAGAAGGTATACGACTAGATTTCTTAGACTTGGTAGACAAATTAGCATTTTCTCTAGCAAGCTTAACCGATTCGCTCAAGGAGCTTCTTTTAGTTATCACCTCTTGAAGATGGGTTTGTCCATAGAACAATGAATGTTTCATTTGAAAGGGTCTGTGGAACCCCTTTAAGATGTTAAGATCGACGAAGATCTAGCCCATTTTAATTACCCTATCTTCTTCAATTTCTCTCTCTTCGTTTGAAACCTTCCGATTTGGATTACCCTCATTTTGCATTTGTGTCTATATTGACCATGTTTGGTATTATTCGGATCTTTGTATGTAAGGGATTATTTTGGAGTTCCAGGGTTTGTGATCTTGAGAGCTTCTGTTCCAGGGTTTGCTTATGGAGGCAGATGCAGACTTACATTACTGCATAAATCTTTTGTATGCTTGTGTGCTTGTTCTGTTTATTACTTCTCAATTTTTGATTTTGTCTTAACAAATTGCTTGATGTTTTTCTCCTTGGCATTATTTACAAGAACAAATCACGCGAGATTGATTCTAGCAACAGGTAATATAACTCTGAGCAGTATCTATAAGCATGAATAAATTTAGATACATCTATATTGCAAAAATACATCAAATGTTTTATTTTTCCCTTCTTTTTTCTTTTCCTGTGCAATCTGCATTATGTACCTGTTCTCCCATTTAAAAATTCAAGAATTCAGAATATGCTTAGTAAATTACTATGTATTGTTCTATGGGGACAAGAAAGATGTCTAAGCAAGCCATTAAAACAGATCATTCAAAACCTAGCACTAAAAAGAACTCTCACAGCTTGAGAGCTAGGCCAAAGAAACAAACAACATGCCAAGTTGGAGGACAACGCCTACTATTTCTTTCATAGAAGGCATACGACTAGATTTCTTAGACTTGGTTAAACAAAATAGCATTCTTCTCTAGCAAGCTTAAGATTTCCAATTCTATCAAGGCACTTCTTTTTGTTATAACCTCTTGAAGATGGGTTCGTCCGCAGACCAACAAATGTTTCATTCGAAAGGGTCTGTGGAGCCCCTTTAAGATGTTCAGATCGACAAAGATCTAGCCCATTTTGACTACCCCATCTTCTTCAATTGCTCTCTCTTCATTTGAAACCTCTTCATTTGGATTACCCCATTTTGCATTTGTGTCTATATTGACCCTATTTGGTATTATTCGGATCTTTATATGTAAGGGATCATTTTGGAGTTTCAAGGTTCATGATCTTGGGAGCTTTTGTACAATAGGGGGTTTTTATAGAGAACCGACTCATTATGTTCTTTATTTTCATAGTAAAACGCTTTCACGTTCTTTGCCTATGGATGTAGACTTATAGAAGTACCGCATAAATCTTTTGTATTCTTGTGTGCTTGTTTTGTTTATTACTTCTCAATTTTTTATTCTGTCTTAACAAATTGCCTAAGGTTTTTCTCCTTGGCATTATTTATAGGAACAAAACAAGTGATATTGATTCTAGCAACAGGTAATATACCTCTGATCAATATCTATAAGCATGAATAAATTTAGATGCATCTATATACATCAAAAGTTTTTAACTAGTGGTTGCAAAAAGAAATAGGTTGCCATTAATTTTAGAAACTGGTAATATATGTTACTAGCCAGTATTTATATGCATGAGTAGATTTTGATAATTTTTTTGTTCCTCTGCCACATTGGCTTAATTTTTCTCATTTTGCAACTCCATCAGTTGTTGCTGGAATTGGGATTTTAGTAATCATATTGTACTACATCACAAGGAAACTAGCACAAAATGATCAATCCACATTCTTTTGGAAGACTAAAACAGAGAAATACCGAAATGTTCAGGCCTTTCTAAAGAACTATGGATCTCTTGCTCCAAAAAGGTACACTTACTCTAACATCAAGAAAATGACCAACTCTTTTAGAGTTAAACTAGGTCAAGGAGGCTATGGTTGTGTTTTCAAAGGAAATCTAGAAAATGGCTCCCTAGTGGCAGTAAAGGTTCTAAAAGGATTGAAAGACACCGGAGAAGAGTTCATTAATGAGGTTGCAGCCATTAGTAGGACTTCTCATGTTAATATTGTAAATCTCTTGGGATTTTGTTTTGACGGTCACAATAGAGCTCTTGTATATGAGTTCATGCCTAATGGATCCCTTGAGAAATTCATATATGATAGTAACTCCTTGACATATCACCAATTGGGATGGGAAGCATTGTACAAAATTGCAGTTGGCATTGCTCGAGGATTAGAGTACTTACACCGTGGTTGCAACATGCGGATTTTGCATTTTGACATAAAGCCTCACAATATTCTTTTAGATGAGGACTTTTGCCCAAAGATCTCCGATTTTGGCCTTGCTAAACTGTGCCCACAGAAAGAGAGTATTGTATCACTATTGGGTGCTAGAGGGACTGCCGGTTACATTGCCCCAGAAGTATTTTGTAGGAACTTTGGGGGAGTTTCACACAAGTCAGATGTCTACAGTTATGGAATGATGATTCTAGAAATGGTTGGAGGAAGAAAGAATATTGATATCAAAGTTAATCACACAAGCGAGATATATTTTCCACATTGGATATACAATCGACTTGAGCTGGATGAAGAACTTGGAGTGCATGGCATTATGAATGATGTCGCAAACGAAAGTACAAGGAAGATGATTATAGTTGGCTTGTGGTGCATACAAACCGATCCCTCACACCGGCCATCAATGAACAGGGTCATAGAGATGCTAGAAGGGAGCTTGGAGTCCTTGCAAATCCCACCTAAGCCTTACTTGTCTTCTCCCCCAAGATCACCACTAGATTACTCAACTACACTCATGGCATAATATTGTGCGGTTCACAATGCATACTTCTATTGCCAATGTAAGGTGCACCGGTGAAAATTAGGTAAATTGTATCTCTCTTTTGCTTGTGTTTGACAGTTGTGATTACTACAATTTAGATTTTGCCTAGGGTTTAAAAACTAGTTACAATAAAAATAAAAAATAAAAAATTGTAATATCATAAACCTCTACAAATAATACTAGTATGCTTATTTCATAGTACAATTAAATCAAGATCTAGAAAATTGTTTAGAACAAAAATACCAGATGTTTTTTCAATATGATTGCTTCCCACAAAGGCATTCAAATTTGGGGATCAGGCTACTTCACTTTAGACCTTAAATTGTTCCAAACAAAGTACAACCCATTTCGAAGGTAAATGTGGAGGTTAATAACAATTTACATGTTTTCCAGAGTCAACCTGATCAATAAATTGATAGAACTTTGATGAATTCTATTAAATTTGAAAATTTTGAGTCCCAAAAAATTTCAAGTCATGCCCAGTACCAATGGTTGAGAAAGGGGAATATGGGGACTGCTACTGTGACAATTGCTCTGAGGTTTTTGAGGATTTATTTTGAGCCTATTTTGATTATTCAAACCGTTTATATTATAGAGTTTGTCGAATATATTATTTATATAAAAAATTAAGTTAATATGTGCACCGGTGAAAATTAGGTAAACTGTATCTCTCTTTTTCTTGTGTTTGATAGTTGTGATTACTACAATTTAGATTTTTCCTAGGGTTTAAAAACTAGTTACAATAAAAATAAAAAATAAAAAATTGTAATATCATAAACCTCTACAAATAATACTAGTATGCTTATTTCATAGTACAATTAAATCAAGATCTAGAAAATTGTTTAGAACAAAAATACCAGATGTTTTTTCAATATGATTGCTTCCCACAAAGGCATTCAAATTTGGGGATCAGGCTACTTCACTTTAGACCTTAAATTGTTCCAAACAAAGTACAACCCATTTCAAAGGTAACTGTGGAGGTTAATAACAATTTACATGTTTTCCAGAGTCAACCTGATCAATAAATTGATAGATCTTTGATGAATTCTATTAAATTTGAAAATTTTGAGTCCCCAAAAATTTCAAGTCATGCCCAGTACCAATGGTTGAGAAAGGGGAATATGGGACTGCTACTGCGACAATTGCTCTGAGGTTTTTGAGGATTTATTTTGAGTCTATTTTGATTATTCGAACCGTTCATATTATAGAGTTTGTCGAATATATTATTTATATAAAAAATTAAGTTAATTGGATATTCATAACCCAATGATTGGATTCTAATTATTTTTAAAAAAATTATCAAAATTATGATAGCTGTTTATTCTTTGACAAAAAAATGTGGCTATTGTATAGAGTTACTAATATGCAATTAACTTGATTTTTTCATTAATGATCTACTCGACAAACGGTATAATATAAACGGTTCAAATTATCGAAATAGGCTCCGAACGATACCCCACGAGCCTTAGGGATTTAGATCTCTCTATCTCAGGGTTCAAACTTTGGGAGGCAAAAACATATATAACTTCTCATCTTTTGAAATTGTCTTACTAATTACGAGTATAATAATATACATGATTCTTACAATTTTTTATGGGTATAAAAAAAATCATTATACTATTTTGTAGCCATTAGATATATAACAGAGATTATTAGTTTGGTGCAATTTAAACAAACATATAAATAAGTCATAAATTTGTTACACATCTCGGTACGCCAACAAAAGTATACAGGTGTGGAACAAAAAATATTGTTTAGGGGTTACATGTTCAATCGAAAATAATTGCAAAAAATTAAATAAATCTAACAAATTACTTTTTTCATTTTCTCTAAAATTCTAAACTATGAATTAGAACTCGTATAATTGATTAGATCACCATTTTGAGTCATTTTATCAGTTAACCTAATCAAGCAAAAAAAAAAAGTATGCATACCTCTTTGATTTTTAAATAAAAAATAAAGAAAAATACATACTGTGGAGAAGTGGTTTGGAAATACTCTTTGGATCCAATGGGACGCTCGAGATCCTCAGCTAGTAACCTGAAAAGGAATGAACACTCCGGTCGGGGGTACCGGAATTAGCACTCCGACGGATTAGTCAATGTATACTCTCTTTGTTGCTTGTATCTTAAGTTAAACATACTAATTCTCACATACCTTTCTCTGGTTGATGCTCCTCTATTTATATCCTTTTCCTTGGGCCTTAGGGTCAGACCCACCCTTGATCCATTGCACGTCTATTTATTCGGCTCTTGTTTTGTTGGTCGAAATGCCGATTATCCTATTCGGCTCTGATGTCGACTAGGATCAATGCCGAGTACAAATTCCATCTTTCGCTGATCTCATATCTGTATCGGGCCTTACTCCCCCCCGGAATATTCAGCTCCCACAATTGCCCCCCAAACATTCTATTAACGCCAGTTATTCAGCGTGTTTGGTTTCGTACGGCATGTCTATTTTTGAATTTGAGAAGTCATAGAAAGAACGGCGACTAACCTCATCCCAACGTATGTCAGAGCAGACGCTTTTTAGGCATTATTATATTTTCCCGCCTCTTCGCACGCATTCTTCATTTAATGCGATTTGAAACTATGTTGTCTCTTCGTGTGTAAGTTCTTTTTTGAATACTCAAAGCTTTTGGTTTGCCTTTCGATATACCTCTGTTTCGCGACTTCTGCAACTTCCTCCTGTCTCTCATTATCTCTTCTGCTCCTTGTAAGTTTTCTTCTCCTTCACTTCGAATCCCATTTCCTCGTTTATTTTTAGTTTCGTATAATCCTTAGGCTGGCTAGGATGGCAAAACATTTGAAAGAACTCCTTTCTGCCGGTCGAATTTCTGGCTTCCGACGCCACTATTCCATCCCCGACGACGTCCATCTGTCACTCGTGGCAAACAACACTACTGATATGGAGAGGACTGATGAGAGTACAATCATCTTTCCTCTCCTATCGATTGCTGAATGCGGAGTCCGTTTTCCCCTTCACCCATGTCTAAGGGCCGTCCTTCGACACTGGGGTCTAATCCCTTCCTAACCTAACGTAAATTTTTTTCGAATCATAATGGGGGTTATAGAGTTGAATCGACACCTTAGGATTAAGCTAGGTATACCTGCTATTCAACATTGTTATGCTTTAGCCAAGTCCACTGGCCGGCTGGGACATTATTTTCTCAGAGCCAAGGATACCGATCATCACTTGGTGACCATGCTTGCTAGTTCTGGCAAGCGTGTTGACGATGTAATGGTCGTTGTCCGAGGCAACTGGAAATTCGGCCAGGGTGAAGATCGCCTAGATCCCGTGCCAAGGCGAAAAGGCGTACCAAGTGGCCGTATAGCTCATTTTTGTTATTTTTCTATTTTCTATTATCACACATGTATTCGATTTTTCTTCTATGTACTAATTGTTTTGTTCATGCAAGCAATGATTTGAAGAAAGTGTTGGCTTTAGCCGACGACGCTGTGCTTGCGGAAATTAAAATCGCTCTCCAGTTTTTTGGCCGTCCAAGCCTTCAGAAACAAGGGAGGGCAACCCACATTCTTCTGAGATGCGCGCCAACTTACGTAACATTTTCGGCGGCAGACAACATTCCTGTTCCGAGGGGTGAGTAGTAGCTTACGGCCCTTATCTTCCCCAATTACAAAAACCTAAAGGAGGTTGGTTTGGAAGCCTCCGATTCTGAGCAAGTGGAAGAAGAAGTAGCTGAGGAGGTCGTCGAGGAGCCGAATCAGTCGGAGGCCGAGGTAGACGGGGCTTTAAACTTGGCCTTCGAAGAAGCCGGCCTCAATTCATCCAACCCTCCGTTCATCTCAGGCTGAGGAGAGGCATCCTTTGAGGACATTTTTACAGACTTGGGAGACCTTCCCGGCGCCTATCTTGAAAATATGGCTGGGGAGTCGCTCACACAACTTGCTAGGAGAAAATACGCCGAAAAGATGGCCGCCCAGAGAAGAGTGGAGGCCGCCTAATCAGAAACTCCACCCATCCCGGTAGTCGAGTCGTCTTTGCCTGTTATTACGGAAGAAACGGCTCAAACAGAAACGGCCATGAGGGAGCAGGCAGAATGAGCGGATGAGGCTGAACATAGGGGGAAAAAGCGCCCCGCTGAGCAAAAGGCCGTCCAGGGTGAGGACCAAAGTGACAAACGGCCCCGTATTGAGGAGTCAAACTTGGTTGTTCTGTTCACGGTTCAACCAAGGATAAGGAATATGTCGATTGCCTCTGATGCGTCAGCTTTGAAGGACCCGACTGTGGCCTTGAGCATGGCCTCCTCAATTACCCTGCCGGTTGATAGAGGTGTATTTCAGGCAGAGCCAGACCTAATGTTGATTGCTTTAGCCGCTCAGTCGGCCTTATTGGTACATCACTTGCTATATCTGTGGTCTTTCAACTAAATATATATATAATTTTTATTATTATTTGTTTGCTGCAACTCTATTTTCCTATTTTGCAGACGGTGGGATAGCCGAAATCGGCCACCGACAGCATGACACCATAGAACAGATCGGCTTCTTGAAAGCCGAAGTTGACAATAAAAAGAACAAGTCTGCTGTAGCCTCTCAAAGGGCCGATTCCGAGGCATCGCAAGCAACGGAGGAACGTGCGAGAGCCGACTCCGAGGCCGAGCGAGCGAGAAATTCGGACCAGTTAAGGCTTGTCGCCAAAGAGAGGGCAAGAGCGAGTGAGGACGCGCTGAAGTTAGCCAAGGCGGTGATCGCCAAGCTGGAAACCGACTTGGATGAATCGAGGAAGGCAAAGGAAATAGCAGACTCCAAGATTTCCAAGGCGTTCCAAGCTGGGAAGGACACCGCCTTGGACAACTACATGGAAGAGGTCCCCAAGTTCAAGAATTGGGGCTTCAAACACGGCTGCCTCAAAGCCCTCGCTGCTGCGAATGTGATATTGGTGCAGCCGATTCCATACGAGTAGGTGGACGTTGAGCCACTGGCGTCTAACCCTGAAGATTAATTTAGGGGATATTTTTGTTTTAGGTAGGCATCTTAGATGAATAGTAGTTGTGGGTTTTTCTTAGTAAATTTTCATTTCTTTAAATGTAAGCTAATTATCATGTGTAAAATGACTGTTGTTTGCGCTCAATTTATTAATGAAAATTTTTTGTGCTTTTCAGTTTACTGCATATACTATTTGTCATTTGTCTTTAATTTATTAATGACAATTCCTTACGCTTTTCTGTTTGCTATATGAGTAAATT